ACTTACTTTGTTCCGTGGGACATTAGCAAACCTGATACAAGGAGAGTCTTAAAAAGTGCTCACAGTTACGGCTTACTTTCTCTTCCTGCTGGGAGCTCTTCCACCATTTGTGAAAAACTCCTGGCTGACCTGATGGATGATGAGAGACGTGTGGTCATCACCCCATCTGATATCTAACCAACCGCCAGGCATGTGCGTGTAACCCCTTAGGCCAACTAGCCTGCCAGACATTTGAGTCAGGCCATGATAGGCCTAGACCAGAAGAAACCCCCAGAAACCCCACAGACCAATGAAAAATATTGCTTATTGTTTTAAAGTTAAGCCAGTACATTTTGAGGTGGTTTAGTTTGCAGTGAAAGATAACTGATACCTAAGTCTCCATCTGTAGGGTTGGATTTGGCTGGGAGTACTTCTTGGAGCTGCTAAGCACTTAAAGAAAAGAGCCACCACACGTCACCTTCCCATAGCTGGCCTGTGTTACCTTAAGTTCTCCCATCAGATTTCTCATAGTTGTGCTTATTTATAGCAGGGACAATCTCACATATCATATCTGTTGTATTTCAACTTGTTCAGTAAAAGTAATATCACTTGCATGGTTTTCTTTGGTTTTGTTCCTCTTTTTAAAAATAAAGGTTGAATTGTATAAATATTGGGTATCATTTGTTGGTATGCTTTGTTATAAATTTAATCTTAAATGTACAGGGCATCAAAGCTAAGAAACGACCAGTAAATGGCCATATTAAGAATAATAATGTAATTAGTCATAACTAATGAAGAGAAAATGCTTTTAGTTTGTTTATGCTAGTTAGTTATTGTTCATTGTTATTAATAAAGATGGTTAATTATGATGTGTCTGTCTTTGTGAGATTTGGTGTCTTAGTATGAGTGGGTGTCAATTTTGGGACTCAGGGAACATAAAAATGTTTTCCCATTGAAATTAATGATGATTATGTTATTTGATAATTCTTATTTTAAAGACAAACATTTTCAACTTGTATTGACCCCCCCAAGGGGATTTTTTAGGATTGATTACCCTGTAAGGCAGGAAAGGACTGTCCTGCTGTTACTATACCTTTTATGTTATAGAAAATGAAAATGTTAACAGGATGATTAAGGTTTCTTTCCTGAGACCCAGGGATAGCCTCAGGATCTTCTATTAGCTTGTGTAAAGCTTCTGCTGAGTAAATGGTATTAACGTGTGTAAAGAAAGAATGTGACAGTCCAAAGTGGGCGGGGATCAGCTGGAAAGAGATGTATCAAGTACACATTCCTGATGGACTTTGTCATGGAATTGGAGGCACCAGTAATGTTATCCACAGCCTATCGGGCTTTTAGTGTTCGTGTTTTCCAACAGAGGGGGATATGTGCATTAGGCCAACTGGATCCTTTCTTTCATAGAACTGTTCATTTTTTAATCAGATAATTAATATTTGATGTCTGATGTCTTGAGTTATATGATGTGTCAGCTTTCAAAAGCCAGTCAACTCTGGGGAACTGCTAGCACCTGATTACTGAGGCCCAAAGCTGAACTTGGAGAATGTCTGCAAACTAATGAGCCATCCTGGTGTGGGTAGCCAGCATTCACCTGCAGGTAGCTGCTGTCTTGACACATACCCTTAGAGCTTGCTCTCACTGTGACGGTCCTTTCCAATCCTGTGACTGGAATTTGCCTACATTCTGATGAAATGCCTTGACTATGCTGTTCTTTCCCTCGTCTGGGAATAAAAGAGCTCAGACTTCTAAGGAGTAAGATGGGCAATCCTAAAGTGACTCACCTTTGAAAACACTGAAAGCCGTCTTAGTGAAGCTCCATCCAGATCTCTGTGGTGCCCCAGCACTCAGCAGTTCTACGGAGCAAAAGGGAGCAGAAGGCAGCTAAGGCATCTGGTTTCAGGTCTATGCCTCTGGCTGGGGCCCTTTGGGAGCCATCTGGCCCCCCATCCAACAGAGCTTTTAAATGGCAGACGCTGTCAAGTGCTGGTGAGACTATAAGCAGAGGGTGCCCACGCTGAAGTCGGCCTGGCAGTGAGCTGATTGGCTGGGAGAACTGTCAGGCCGAGCAATTGCTATAAGTGTATCTACAGATACCTTATGCCCAGAAGCTTTACATCCATAAATCTTTTATTTCCAAGCACCCGCACTGAATGTTCGGTTATCAAGGACATTATGCATTTTCTATTAAGGTTGACAAGTATTCTTGTCCTCTCTGAGTTAAAAAAGAAAAAAATCTGTCAATTTCAGGAGAAACACATAAAGAAGATATGGAGGGTCCCAGGCAAGTATTTTGGAAGCACAAGCTCAGAAGATGCAAAATATCTGGGGGAAACTTCAGTGGAAACGTTTCCCACTTGCTTTTGTTAGGTTTGAGGTGTTCGGGCCCTAGGCCCAATGTGTTTTTTGCCCCCCACCCCCCACCCCGCCACAGCAAGCACATACCACATGGCTATGTTCCTATTACAGGCTTAATGCTATTTTATCCCTGATTCTTAGCTAAAAGAAACTAGTATAGCATAACAGAAGTTCCTGGTATTTTTATTAGGGTGAAATAAATTCAATGCCAGAGAGGCTGGAAAAATTATTTGTATCCCAGACCTTCATTTACAACTTTGTAGCAAGAGCACATGTTAAATGCTTTAATTTAAACAAATCTTAATACAGGTTTTTAACCCTGCTGCAACTTCAGGGAGTAACAGATAACCTTACTTTGCTAATCTGATTCAGAAATTTTATCTTTAAAAACTGAGCTGGGTTTTCAGCCTCCCCAGTTAAAGTGAAAGTTTGATTTTGTAATGTTGAATCTGCACTGAGATTATGTTGGAAGAGAACAGAATGATTGTAAACTTAACTGATCTAATGATAATATCCTCCTGACCAATTCCCTTCTATGCCACCGCCCCACCCCCACCCCCCCAAAAAAAGGGCAAAATACTTAGCTTAACAGTGTGGTCATCAAGCAACCAGTCATTTCCTAATATGGACAGTTCAGCTCTCCAGTTTCACTTCTGGAATTCAAGTGCTAGGGGAATGGCATGTATATATACATTTTCTACAACTCCTTTCCTTCTCACTCCTCAAAGTGATGACACCTCTGTGTTGTTTGCTTTAACATTAATTATGGCATCTGCAATGACTGAATTTCCTGAACTTATATTGTAATATAGTACCAGCCCTGACCAAATTATAATCTAATCCTAATAGTTTGATATAAAATTCAAGTGAATAGTCACAAGATTTTTGGGCTCTTTCCTTATTAAAAATGGATAATTGCCCAAAAAAGGGGGTTAAGGGGCACTATAATTTGCAATCACAATATAGGTAGGTCACGGGGAAGGCAATACAGCACAGAAGACAATTACGACTGTGTAACATCTTACTACATTGATACACAGTGACTGCATGGAGGGGGTGAGGACTTGATAATATGGGTGAATGTTGAAACCATTGTGTTGTTTATGTGAAACCATCATAAGATTGTATATCAATGATACTTTAATAAAAAATAAAATAAAAATGAATAGTTACCTAAAACATTGGTTATAGCCATTAAAAAAATGAAGTCAATATATTTCTACTGACGTGGGAAGATGTCAGTGGTAGAACTGAAAGAGACAGTAGCAAGTTACAGAAAAGTATAAAATAAATTATTTTGATAAAGAAAAAAATGATTTAACCTTCTGAAAAACAATTTCCTACCTTAATAATAAGATATTTATGATACAGGTCCTAACCTTAGGCTCAAGTTTAATTTCTGCTTTCTTTGGTAACTAGAAAATTATGTATTAAAGAAAAATCTACAGTACTTATTGACTGACAGTTATCATATGCTAAGCACTTCACTTACATTATCATTTAATCCTCACAATAACCTCCATTTTATAGGTGAGAAAACTAATGCTTATAGTATTTAAGTAATTTGCCCAAGGTTAAGTTGTATGTAATAGGATCTGAACCCAGAGTTGTCTGACTATAATTCATGCTGGTAACCACAATGCTATATGCCTCCCATTAATGTAAATACTTGGCCTGTAACCATTTGAGTTTATTTTTCAGTACACATTTTGTTAATAGTGGGTCAGACAGAGTCAGTGTGGTCGCATACTAGCTTTGTAATTTGGCTAGAAGAAGCTACGTGAAGCTTATTCAGAGAGTAAAACTAGACCATGCTTGACATGAAGCTGACTTTGCATTTGCAGAGACCAGCTGAAAGAACTGGAACAAAGGTCACTAGCAAAAGATTAGAAATAGCCTAATGTCTGTCAGTAGGGTGGCTGGATATCTGGTAGTCCAACCAACCAAAATGTCGCTAGTTGAACATCATGTGGTACTTAAACTATCAAAAAGCAAAAAAGATAGAAAAGGAAAATGGGGACGTTTTTAATGTTCTGGTTTGGAACACTTTCCAAGACATTACATGAAAAAAGCAGGGTTCATTACAGGGCAGTTAGTATGTTACCATAATGGTAACATTATAATTATGTTTAAAAAGGATGTACACGTATAATCATTACGTTGAACAAGCATGATTCATGGGGTGTGTATCAGTTAATGTAGGCTACACGACTGCAACAAATAGATGTAAAACATGACTCAGCAACATAGCTTACTTCTTGCTCACCTAATAGTCCTGGACAGATATTCAGGTCAAAGAGGTGGCTCTCCTTCACTGCTGTAATCCAGGGCCCCAAGCTCCTTCCACCTTGTGGTCTACTACCCCCTAGGTCCAAAGTGGTACACATTCCATTGTTTGCATTCACATTACATTGGAGAAAATTTTGTCAAATGGTCACCCTCAAATTGAAAGGGAATAGGGGAAAGAGTCTCATTGTGTGCCTGAAGAGAATAATGGCTTTTGGTATACAGCAAGAGATCTCTGTTTCAGGCAGTCTCTATGGTCACCAACATATTCCCCATTCCCCCAAGGGAGATGAACAAAAAGTCCCGACCAGTTATGGCGCTCATACCAAAATCTGGATTGCAGTGGATTTCCTCATGGTCCAGCGACTATGAACTTTAAAGGCCAGTAGTTGCTGCTTCGTCACTACCCCCAGTAAGCCCACCCACTCAATATATAGGGATAGAACAGGGGCAGGAAAACTGCAGTAAATACTCCTATTTGGAAAAGGAAGAATGGGAATCATGAAATGGTCGCGTCCAAAGCAATTTCTGAAATCCTGCGAAACGTGCATTACTAAGACTCCCTTTCCTGGCAGTAAGGGAAGTTCCGAGCTTAGACCCAGTTTTGCTCTTTAGGAAAAATTCTTTCATCATTGTTCTCCTTCTACCCCGGTTCTGCCCTCTGCCATGTCCTCTCTCAGCCATGGTTCTCACTGGCTATACATGAAGTGGGGAGCACATCCTTCTTGGGGACCACACAGCTTGACAGCCTGCTTCCTGATGGTGCAAGTTTGGAGGTCCAAGTATTGTACTGTGGCTTTACTCAGTTATTCAGACGAGGCTTGTGGGCTTTTTGGCAACAACAGTTCACTCAGAAATTTCAGATCTCTTCACGTCTAAGCAGTTTCTTGTGCCAGAAACCATACCCAAAAGACTTGGATTTTCAAGATATAAATATCAACTTTCATTTACTTCTTCATTTCTTTACTTCACGTCTCTGTCTTCTGACGTATGGCTACTGCAGGGAGGTCATATGAAACAACAGGCTTAAGGGGGAAGAAAGTCTTTAAACTGTTCTTTGCAATAGTGCTGAAGTCCTCTGTTTAACTGCAATACCTTAGTGTATCATAGCTTCTCAAAGCCTCTTCAGTCTCTTTTCCTGCTGTTGGGGTTCAACAGCTTCTCCAGTCCTTCAAGGCTCCATTCTGGACTCCCTTTATTCTTTTTTCAGTTCTGCTTGCAAACCAGGATGTGTATGCCTGAGCTTACTATCTCTTACAACATCTTGTTAAACACAGCAAGGAATAACAATACCCTCCAACACTGTGACTCATGGTCCATGACTTTACAATACCATGGAAAAAATATTTTTAACCTCTTCAAGTATTCCTATTAAACAATGGATACCAAATAAATTAGTTTCTTGATGTCTTAGAAATTGCTGTCATTACATAGAGGCTCATACTAAAAAAATTAGAGAAAATGCTAACAAGCTGCTCTGTCTGAAGCCTTTAAACAGGGACTTCTTCAGAAAAAGGATGGATGAGCCTATAGAGAGGTTCAAGAATTCCACCACATATTGGCAAGACTGGTTGCAAGACCCATGAGGACAGTCTCCAATAGCACCAGACGCTGTCACAGAGGGAACAAAACTGGTCATGGTATTTGCTAAACACTGGTGGGGAAACTTCTGAGTCAGCAGAAGGTATGGCCAGTGCATGCCTCAGCTGTGAACAATATTACTTGGGAAAACTTATAAAAATGGGATATAGATTGGAAGTATGTCCTAAGGATCCTTGAAATATCTCTGAAGAGACCTCACACAATTACCTCCCTTTAAGAGTCATGAATATTTTATTGGTAATAGTGTGTGTTTTTTCTGGATAAGTTGAAGCATCCTTCTGTCAAAAAGCCACAGCATTCAAATAGCTAAGAAGCTACTGGACTCTTTATTCCCTCTGTAGGATATTCTAACTTGGTGGTTTAATGATACAGAAACATAATTTACTGGGGCAATCATTCTTGAGCTATGTAAAGTATTGTCTCTAATATAGACGTCGCACTGTCCTTATCACTGTCAATCACCTAGAAAGGTAGAGAGAACAAAAGGAATATTAAAACTTAAATTAGCTAAATTATCAGACATACTTACTTCAGTTCCCATGGCCTTAAGTACTACCTTAGGTTCTTAAGATTCTGTGTTCTTCCCATTCAGGAACTCATAGGTTGTTTCCATACGAATCGGTCACTGGCAGGCAGGCCCATAAGACTAGGAATCTTTACACCTGTACTTGATTTTAACCTTTTATAGGCAGAGCTGGCTAAATGTTCTAAAGGATTAACCCAGTACACTCAGTCTTATCACCAACAGGTACAGGCCACATTTCCTAGCCAGCCACGTAACTGGCTTCTAACCTTAGACCAGGTGACTGGGTGTTTTGGAAATACCTGAGAAACTTAAACCTTGTTTAAAAAGGGCCTTATCAACAGCAGTCAAACTCCAAAGGACTGATCTTTGGATTCATGTTCCTCAGCTAAAAGGACATTATCCACTACGCAACAATAAAAATTGGAAAATTGCACTTACTAAAATTTTAAACTGAGGTTTCTGGAGAGCTGCCAAAAAGCAGCTGATCTTTAGAAGCTGCTACTAAACATAAGAACCTTGCCATAGGCTGATGACTGTATGAGGGAGAAAGCCCCAATCCGAGAACCACTGACTGGACATGCCCTTCTTTTCATGCTTTCATTCTTTATTCTTCCAGCCATAATTTTTCACTCTATGTGTTCAAGATTATATAATTAAAAAGTTATTTTTTATTAATTTCAGATTCATAGAAAGGTTGCAAATTTAGTACAAAGAACTCCCACAGACTCTGTCCCCAGATTCTGAGGATGTTAATATTTTACCACATTTGCTTTATCATTCTCTCTGTATCCACATTATTATAGTCTATGAACCATTTGAGAGTAATTTGCAGACACAATGTTCCTTTATGCCTAAATATTTTAGTGTGTACTTCATAAATACAAGTATATTCTCCTACATAATCATACTACAATTATCAAAATCTGGAAATTAACACTGATACAATACTATTATCTAATTTACATATCATATTTCTACTTTCCAAATGTCCCCAAATATCTTTTATATCAAAATTTTAGTTTCCTTTAAATCAATCATATACAGTCTTTGGCTTTTATGACTTTGACAGCTTTGAAAAGCACAAGGTGTTATTTTGTACAATGTCCTCCAGTTTGGGTTTAGCTGATTAGATTGAAGATAGGCATTTCTACACTACATTTCTACCACTACAGAGGAAGTGTCATTTTTTCTCAGTGCATCATATCAGGAGGCATATGATATCAGTTTTGTCACTACTGCTGATGTCAGCTTTGATCACTTAGTTAAGGTGGTATTTGCTAGTTTTCTCCACTATACAGTTATTATTTTTCTCTTTGTAATTAGCATTTTATATGGAGAGGCGCTGAAACTCTATAAATATACTGTTTCTCATCAAACTTTCCCACTGGATTTAGCATCCATTCATGATTCTTGCCTGAAACAGTCATTACTATGGTGGTTGCAAAAGGGTGATTTTTCTAATTCCGTAATTCTTTCTACATTTATTAGTTGGAATTCTACATAAGGAAGAGTCCTCCCTACCATGTATTTTTATTCATTTATTTACTTATGTAAATATAGACCCATAGATTATTTTATTCCATTATCGTAATTATTTAATTCTCAAAATGGCCCAGACTTGGTGAGCAGGAGCCTTTTCAAGTTGTCTTCCATGTTACTGTGACATGACTCCACCTCTCTTTGAGCACTTCCTTACTTTCTAGAAAAACAGATATCCTAGGCTCATCTTGTACTTTCCCTGGACTCAGCCATTTCTCCAAAAAGCCCTGGTTCCTTTAGTGAAGAATGGTATTTAGGAGAACAAGTCCTGGACGCTGGGTGTATGCATCATTAGTGGGGTGGCATTATGTTGCGGCTTGTAGGTCCTCTCAACAGGCAGAGCTAGGGAATTACATGTATTATACAATTACTATAATTATACATTTAATTATTGTTAAATAGATATAAATTTATATGTATATATTCACACAAAAGTATGCCTATGCTATATATAGATATAAATTTATATATAAATTTCCCCCTCCCTATTAAAAACATGAATACAAATTGACGTCTCTACTTTTCAGTTCAACACCGCAGGGTTTATTTTCGCCTTCAGTTTTTTCGTATTTGTAACTCTCTTGCACAGTGAGAGACCTGGCTCTCATTCTTCACAATACATTTATTTATTTGCTCAGTCCTAGAATATGCAAAAAAGTTTCAGAATTGTTAACCTACCTACCACCGTGACAAACAAATCTACTAACTAGAGTTCAATATTTGCTTCCTTTTTTGTGTGGGTTTTTGGTCTTTAGCCTGAGGGTACATAGTCAACATACTGTGTTTAAGAGTCCTATGAGTTAGCTTTTCCTGTTTCCGTGTAGTTACTCATTTGAAAATGTAGGTGGGTCCATTTGGTGGGTCCCACCCCCAGTCTTGTCGAAATCTTTTTTGAGTATCTGAAATACTAACATGGGTCTAAAAGTCTGAGTTACACAAAAGGAATACTTAGAGAAGCTCCCCTGTCTCTATCCCATCTAATCTGTTTCCACCTCTCTTTCTTTCCAACCCATTATCACCACCTCCTGTAGGTCACCCATCTTACTGGGTTTATCCATCTTGTGCTTCTCTGCAAATGAGTATATGTATGTATATTTTCTTACTTCTGTCCCTTTTATTTCTCTCCCAGAATGTGGCATCCTGTAAGATCACATACTTTTAGTATGCTAAGGCTCTTGTCAACATGGGCCTTTTCATATTCCTGTTTCTGCTGTTAACACTCTTGCCTTTAGTGAACTCTGTATGCAACAAAAACTCAGCCACAGTTAGTCCACAGTCTAGCCAGATCAAGTTGATGGGTTACACTCACTTCCCTTTAGGTCACATAATTCCCTTAAATAAAATCAGTGATTCATAACCAATAAACTCTTCTATCACTGGCAATCACCATCACAAATAATGCCAAGCCTCCAGTAACATTTATGGTCATGCCTAGAATGAGACTTTTTTGCTTACACAAAAATCAAACTAAAGGGTCTAAGGTGGGGGGGCCTATTTGTCAGGTCAAGAAAGGAGTCTTTTCTGGTGGCATAATCTGTGAGAACTTAGATCATGATTGTGGTGCACTTTCCAGTCCTTCCTGGTTCTATTAGTTGTGTATTTGTTTATGTTACAATCATGCGCTGTCTAGTTGGTGTCTAGACTTTTAAACTCCACTGTGTGGTGGCTGTCTCATCGGACAATACTGATTCAAAACTAAAATGAAATCGTGATGAGTACCACCACCGCCATCTCACCCAGCAAGGAATACCATGGCTGTATCTAGTCTAGACAAACTAGATCTAGAGTTCTAGACCAGGATTCAGCAAAGTATGACTATGGGACAAAAACACCTATTTCTGCAAATAAGTTTTCTTGGAACATAGCTACACTTACTCATCTATAAATTGTCTATGATGCTTCTGGACTATGACAAGCAGAATTGAGTAACTACAACTGAGCCAGTGCGTTTAACCAAGCCTAAAATATTTACCTTCTGCCCTTGACAGACAAAAAAAAAAAAAAAAAAAGCCCGTCCCTGTTCTGGGTAATATTTAATGACCTCCTTCCATGACCTGTCAAAGAGGACCAAAAGGGAGATGAGAACGGAAAATTCCACTCTTGCCTGAAAATTCTACTCAGGCCTTCAGGTACTTAAACAGGAAACCGTTAAGACCAGTCTTGGGCTGAATTACCCACAGACACCGAACCCTGCTTCCACAGATGAGCTCTTGAAATCCATACAATCAATTAATAGCCTCCACTTCACTTTGAGCCAATCAAAGCCAATCTTTTATTTTTAACATAAACCCCACATTTTTAGTAGGCTGGAGGTGGGTGGTGAAGTAAAAGTGAAAACTTGGTTTTCTATAAAAATCACCACTGCAAATCCTGTGTCGGTGGATTTGCATCTTGCTTTGAATATGATCTTATAGTTCTGGGGTCCCAGCCAAACCTGAGACGAAGGGAGGTTCATTTAAACATCTCATGTATAATATATCTCTGGAAATATACATATGGAACAGGAAATATTGGTTACTTTTGCTGGTGAATTCATTGGCTCAGGGAAGCCGTGAGAGAGATATTTTTTCACATATACTCTTTTGAACTGCCTTAATTTTAAACTACATGTATGTAGTACCTATCCAAGAAATTAAATGTACCTTATAAATATATTAAAGTACATTCATACAATAGAGTACTTTCCAACTCTTAAGAAGAATGAGCTAAATATTCTGATGCAGAAAAATCTCAAGGATGTTGTTAGTAAGAAAAAGATACAGAATATTTCAGAATATATTTATTTATATGTAATAAAATTATGCATGAATATATATTTAATATGTGAGTAACATTTCCAGAAAAAAGTTACTAGGATTGGTTAAGTCATGTTGCAGCAGCATAGAAAACTCAAAGTATCAGTTGCTTACCCCAGCAAAGGCTTACATTTCTGGGATGTGCACATGTCCAGTGTGAGACGGGCAACTCTGCAGGCAGCTATTCTCCAAGGTGTGACTCAGGGATGTAAGCTGTTTCCATCTTCTGTCTCCACCATCTAAGTGCATGGCCTCCACAACTTCTGCACAAGGGAAGGGGAATCTGCAGAGTCATACACTAGCACTAAATGTTTGGGCCCAGAAGTGCACACATCACTTATGTTCATAACTCTTGAGCCAGAACTAGTCTCATGGGCCTGGCCTCACTGCAAGGAATGGTAGGAAATATTGTCATCCTTCCGACCCGGAAGAGGAAAATGAAATGGGTTTCGGTATCATGTGACATTGTTTCTGCCACAGGACATGCAAAAAACAGGTAACAGAAGGAGGGAGTCAGGATCTGATATCAGAAGAAAACTTACTTTCTTCACTGTACTCACTATATTGTTTGGATTTGTTTGGCCATTGGGTCATGCATACTTTTTCAATTGGGAGAATTAGTAACTTTAGCATCAATAGATAGTAAAACTAGTAGATGATTAAAGTTTTAAGAGGAATAGGATATAGTCTCAAAATATCTCCCCACAAGATACTTATTAATTACAAGTGGACAAAGAATAACTTTACAGTGGAAAACCTGGCAGATACCACCTTAATCAAGGGATCAAAGTTAATTAACATCATTACATCATGTGCCTCCTGATTTAGTGAACTGAGAACACCGCATCATTTTTGTAATATTCCTGCCCAAAATATGTAGTCTGAATTTAATTATGAGGAAAAACATAAATCTAAGCTGAAGGACTTTGTATGAAATAAATATCTGGCAGGTACTCTGCAAGTAACATGGTCATAGAGGGCAAAGAAAGACTGAGGAATTATTCCAGAGTGGAGAAAACTAAAGAGATTTATCAACTAAATGCAGTGTATGATCCTAGACTGAGTCCTAAAGCAGAAAGACACATTTTTCCCTCTTTGTTATAAAGGATATTAGTGAGAAAACTGATGATATCTGAATAAGATCTCTAGGTTTGATATTATTGTATTAATGCTATTTTTTAGATTTTATACTTGTGCTATTATTATATAAAAGAATGTCCTTGTGTTAGGAAAAAAAAGGTCCTTGAAGTCATCAAAGGCCCAGGTTCTTTCAGGCAAATCTCTGTGCTCAGTGTATGGGGTTTGCCCTCAGGTCCCATAACACCTGAAGTAAGAAATGGGGTACCTCTTCCTAATCTCTTTGGCAGGAGCCTCTCACGTTTCCTTGGCCAGAATCGGGTCTCATGTCCATGGCAGCAGAAATGTGCAGCTGAGATTGCATTAGGCAGTCAGGATGCTTGTCCTGTAGCTTGGAGAGGGGTCATCTTCCCTCGAAGCACAGGGCTACGTGGAGGAGGGTGGATGTCTCCACACAATCAGGGCTTTGGTGGGAAAGAGAAGGAGTATTTGCTGTGGGTCCCATCATGCTGTTTCCAGAAGTGCTGATACAAATGCAAGGTAGTTGGTCAGCAACACCATGCAGCATGATGAGGATGCTGCACGGGTGGGAGTGATACTTGGAATAGCCTAAGACTGAAGTACAGAGAGGGGTGCACTGGGAGGACGTTGGGGGCTTGGCAGGGGTACAGTCATGTGCTTCACATTAGGCAGTTTGGGCTTTGCTCAGGAGGCCGATGAGAACCAGTGGTGTTACACAGTGTAATTTGGGTTTAGGTGAGCCACAAAAGAATATTTTTATTTCAATAGATAAATGCTTATTCTTATGTATATTTAAAAAGTAACTAGCAAGCAGAACACAAAAAGTACTAACTATAAGGAAAAGGATTGATAATTCAAATAATAAACTGAAGAACTATTGTTCATCAAAGACACCAATAAGAGAACTAAAAGGCAAGCCACAGAGAATCTATTTGCAATACATTTATCCAACAACAGACACTTATCAAAAATACACACACACATGCATGCATGGGAAGTGGGACAGGATGACCTGTGTGATTTGTGGCAAACCCCAGAAACATCCCTGGGTTCTAGGGCAAGGCCATGCCATCTGCAGTGGAGAATTAAAGACCCTTTGGAAAATATATACACATATTACAAAACTAAGAAAAAAACCAGACAACTCAATTAAAAAAGGGGCAAAAGACGTGAACAAGCACATGACACAGGAGGATATGCAACTGACTGATAAGCATAAAAAGCTTTTCAACCTCATTAGTCATCATGATACCAATGAGAATGGCTAAAATTAAAATGATTGATGTTATCAAGCTCTGTTGAGGTTGTGAAACAACTGGAACAGTCATTTGGGATTCCTGAGAGAGTAAATAGTACAGCCTATTGGAAAACTATGTGGCTGTACCGAGTAAGACTCAACATACATAACCTATGACTCAGCAATTTAACTCTTAGGTACAAACCCTCAGAAATGCACACGTAATTATACTAGAAGACATGAACAGGAATGCTCATAGCGGCACCATTCACAATAGCTAGAACTGGGCAATAACCTAAATGTCCATCAAGGGTAGAATGAATTACCAAATTGGGGTGAGATCATACAAGGAATACTATATATTGATAAGAAACAACGAACTATTGTTATATGCAACAAAATGGATTTCACAAACATAGTGTTAAAGGAAAGAAATCAGCCACAGAAAAATACACATGGTATAATTTGTTCTATTTATATAAAGTTCAAAAGCAGGTAAATGAGCACCCTCATATTCACAGCATCAGCATCATTATTCACAATAGCCAAAGGGTTGAAGCAATCCAAGTGTCCACTGACAGAAGAATGGATAAACAAACGAACGTAAACACACGCAGTGGATTATCATCTAACCTTAAAAAGGAACAACATGGAACCTTGAGGGCATTATGCGAAGTGAAATAAACAGCCACAAAAAGACAGATACTGTATGATTCCATTTATATGAGCTACCTAGAGTAATCAAATCATAGACAGAAAGTAGAAGGGTGATTATCAAAGAGAGGGGAGAGGGTAATGGAGAATTGTTTAATGGGTATAGAGGGTCAGTTGTTAAAAAAGAAGAGAGTTCTGGACATTGGTTTTACAATGTGAATGTGCTTAACACTACTGAACTTAACACTTAAAAATGGTTAAGAGGGTGAATTTTATGTTATGTGTCTCTTACCAGAGTTACAAAAATTTTTTAAAAGCAGATAAATGAGTCTATGGTGATAGAAAGTTACTTTGGGGGAGAGACACTGACTGAGAGGAGGGATAAATGGTACTTCTGTGGTGCTATTTTTGAGGTGGTGACAGTTACCTGGGAGAGCTCACCAACTATGCACTCAGGATTTATGCACTTTCATGTCACTGTGGGATATATGGTGATGTGTGGCCCAGTCCCCCCTTCAAGGAAGGGGCTGCTGCCCATCTGCAGGGTAAGTGGTCAGTACAGTTCCTAGCCTTCAATTCCTTCGGAGCTTGCAGAGGACTGTCTTGCTAGAGGTCATGTCTTTCCTGGGGCAGCCTGCATGTGGTGGCTGAGCAAAGTAGATGGATAAAGGTCCAGCCACATAGATTTGATGTAGAGCAACTCCACTGGGACTTCTCACTCCAGTCACCTGCTCACTGGCTGGGACTGTGTTGAGCCTGCAACACGAGTTAACTTTCCCTCTGCCAACCCAGCTTTTGTGCCCTTCCCTTCACAGGTGTGGATCTCTAACGAGCATTTTACATCCCAAACTCTATCCTGACATCAACTTTTGACAGTTGGTACTAGAAGTGAATGAGAAAGCTGATGATAAGATGGGGTTTTGGAACTGGATTCACAGCCATCTAGAATGAGGGCATCAGATGCTTGAGATGTATAGAGGGAACATTAGTTACAAGGATGATGGCTATACTGAAGCTCCATGGATGTGCAGGACAATGAACAACTTAGGGCCAGTAACAGGCAATTGAAATCCAGGTATAAAAACCAGGGGGCCTCTTTAGTTTGTACAAAGAAGCCCATATCTCCTGCAGCGGGGAAGCTGAGGACGAAGCCTAGGACTTAATAGTCTGGATAACTGATTTCAAAGACAGTTAAATGCCCAAATAGGCAGATCTCTTATATTAAAGTCAGGGTCGGGACTGGAAAAGCCTGGGATTCTGACACATGGGATGGAAATACCAGGGTGGATGCTCCTGAAGATTTTAACTCCACAAATTCCTCTGAATCTGCTGAGCCTGCAAGAGTAGCCCACTCTTCCTTAGTAAGAGCCAGCACTCCCTCTCCACTGGGAGACAAAGCAGATGCCTCCCCCTCATAAAGCTCCCTCCCCCTCAGAATCTACCCCCAGCTCTGGGTCTTGGCCAATGGGCCTATACTGGATAAGCTGCCGCATAACCCAGCTATGGGAGTGCTGGGCCTGCCACGGGAGGAAAAGGACTATGCCCATCGGAGAGGCAAGGCTTCGCCAGCATACACTGTGGAAGCCAGAGGGGATACACAAGGGGTTGGACTCTGAGGGAGCCTGATGAAGGAAAAGGAACATAAAATTGGAAAGGGCAGCACTTACTGACTCTTGAATTACAGGATTCAGTATCCTGGCTAGGGCCAGGAGAGAGTGCAGACTCCAGACTAGGATGTATCCTAGAACTACGGAAAAACCAATGCTAAAAAAAAGCATGCCAAAGAAAGCTTAAATGTTAGAATTGCTATGGAAGATGATGGAGGTGGGATTAAAGAACTAGTAATGGGTCTGCCAGAATGGACTAGGGATCACCAGAAAACCTGCCAGATGATGTTTCATGGAAAGAACACTATTCACCAAGACCGTAAAGAATTTGCTGATGAGAGGCCCTCCAAGCACTCTAAAAAAGTTAGGTGGTGGCTGTCCTCTATAGACCATGTCTGACGATAGATTAGACGGTTATAGGACTGGGCTCACTGACAGCAATGGGGATGACTGGACCCTGAAACAAAAAAGACGAGGTGGCAAAGCTTAATTTCCATAAACTAGAGAATGCTAACGATCATAATGGCTGGTAAGGTTGGAGTTGCAGCCAAGAAAACCTGACCCACAGTTGCAGAGACAGTTAATAGAGCAAAGCTCCTTGCCTTAGAATGTTGCTCATCCAGTCCCCTCAGTGGACAGATCTAGGGATGTTTTATATACATATGTA